TTAGATTTTGTCTCTAAGTGTCAAGCCTCTCATCCACCTAGGCATTCTCATTAGAGCGACACTTAACTCTCTCTTTTAAAGGCCAACATTCAGCACCAAAGAGCATTGCAGGTCACCATTATCTTATAAAATTTTCATTTCAGTCTAAAGAATACTTGCTATCACACAATAGGCTCGATGTATTCCTCCACTTTAACCAACCAACTTGGATTCTATTAATAACATCCCCATCTTTATCACCATCACTTTGAAGAGTAGACCCGAGATATTTAGAACATTCACACCTTTTAACGATTTGATTACCCATAGTTACAACTCTGCCACTAGAGTTATTATTACTAAAATTACATTCCATGTATTCAGTTTTAGTTATACTCAAATGAAAGTCTTTAGACTCCAACGTAGACCTCCATAATTCAAGTTTCTCCTGAACTCTTTCTCTTGTCTTATCTACAAGAAGGATATCATCAGCGAAAAACATACACCAAGCTACTTCCTTCTTTAAAGCCTCACTTAATTTAATCCTCTTAAAAAAACTTGTACAGATCCAGGGTTCCAAGGACATGATAACTTGAAGTATCATATGAATGCTGTTCACAATTTCTGAATTGTCAATGTAATCCATCATGACAATTTTTTTTTTCAAGGAACATATTTATGAACCATGCTGGGAGGTAAGAAGGTGGAATTCTGTTTGCATAAATATATTGGCGAATCATGTAAACTTCCAATTGTTACAGCGTTTATGTTTTATAAATGAATAATTTACCTACATGCCACTCAATTCCTATGCATTTTCATATCTAACATCCAAGCTTCAATTTTTACTTAGATGCCACCTTACTTGTGTATGAAAATGTGTATTTCATCTTTTCAGTTCAAATGGTTGTTTTTTTTTATGTGATATGAAAGATTTGGGTGTATGAGTGTAAAAGATAAAATTGAGGTGTTAGATATGTAAATTCATAGGAATTGGGTGGTTTGTATGTAAATGCCCCCTTTATAAATATATTTCCTTTATTTTTAAGGAAAATCTTAGCCTTACTCTGTAGTTGTTTTCAGAGCTTCCCATGCGACTTTTAAGCATTCATTAAGGTTGCTTTCAGTATTTATTACTCGTACATATTCAATTTTGTTGAACAATGGTGGTTATGGAAAACACAGTAATTTTATCTACTCTCAGATTATTGCATTACCTGATCATTTGGATGCCTAACTTATCCATAATGTCATGCAAATATTATTATTGTCTGCTTTGTTTGCTTTGCTGGGCATACAGAATTTAGTTGGCCTAGTTTATCCTTCTCTAATGAAAAATCATATTAGCAAGATGTTTTACTTACATTAAGTACGATAATGCTAGTATTTTGAAACTAAATGATGATTGGGATCATCAGGAAAAAAAAAAAATTTTTTTGATTCAAAATGACACTTTTGGCAAGCAAGCAGATTTTAGTAGAGGCTTCATGCTTGTTCTTATGTTCGCTTTATTAGTCATTCTATCAACTAATAAACTTTTCAGTTGCTGTTTTTGCAGATTACCCTGTCTATAGCTAGAACAAATTTAATTGACGATTTATGAAAAATAATGGTGATTTGTTTTTGTGCAGGTGCAGCTATAAGAATGCGCTCTGATTTCTTGAACAATTTCCATCTTCAGTCATCAGTCATGCTATACAGTTGTCCTTCTGACTGTGTGCACTTTGGTCAGGTTCAGTCGCTTCCTCTGGAATAATCTGTAAACATAAAAATTTAACTGGAATACTTGTTTGTGGCGTTTATTTGCTTTCGAGTTTTCAACTGATTATTTAAATTAAGATAGTCCTTTAAACATAATTTTCTATTTCTCTCTCTGTTTGTGGCTTTTCTTATATTACCATTAGTCTTCTTCTTTTTTTTTAAATGCAAGTGACAGCTATGAAGATAAGTAAACACCGAATGATATGTTTAAAATGGAGCTGAGAATTTGACTGAATGCCTTATATATGTTCAAGATTGGATTTTGTCTTCTATGAATTGAACTAATTTGATGTAAATCACAGTTGTGTTACATGTATGAAGAATGTCTAAGCTGAGAATATGACCTCATAAAGAAAATTCTTTCATTTTAATTATGTTTATAAGCAATTTTATATTTATTGCATTAATAAAAAAAAACGATTTACATGCATAACATTTAATTTCTATCTTTTCATATATCTAACATTTAATTCTTTCTATTAAATATATATCTCTATAATTTTTAATATAAATTATAAAAATAAAAATAAACATCCCACAGTTGGTGTCGGGGAATTTTGGTTCTGCCACTAAAATAAAGTTAAAAAGAATTTTGGTTCAGCCACTTTAGCTCTCCATGTGATCTCTTTTTAATAAATAGGGATATGAGGTCTGCTCTTCATGAGGGGAAATATTTGCGTCCATATAACGCACATATCGCTGCGTGCATATTTCATTAACCCCGGAATACCTTCATAACCACCTATGAGTAACATCGAAAATAGAGCCAGCGAAGGTTATTGAAAGGTTATTAGAGTTATAAGTTATTGGAATCTCCCTAATAACCGCGAAGCAGATGTTATTGCGGGGTTATTATGCATTCAGCTCTGATAGACATGCAAATATTTCTCTTGATGAGATCGCTTATTTATAAATAGGGATTTAGGTTCTTGAGTACTAAAATAATATAAAAGAATAATAATATATATAATAATTATAGAAAGTACAGAGAAATTAATAATGTGGTGCATAACAAAAATTGTTTAGGTATTTACAAGATATGCGTGCTGCCAAAGACTGGTAAGCAAATCCGCTATTCGCTTCTCCTTCGTTTGTGGCGTTTATTTGCTTTCGAGTTTTCAACTGATGATTATTGAAATTAAGATAGTCCTTGAAACATAACTTTCTATTTATCTCTCTCTGTCTCTGGCTTTTCTTATATTACCATTAGTCTTCTTTTTTTTTTTAATGCAAGTGACAGCCATGAAGATAAGTAAACACCGAATGATATGTTTAAAATGGAGCTGAGAATTTGACTGAATGCCTTATATATGTTCAAGATTGGATTTTGTCTTCTATGAATTGAACTAATTTGATGTAAATCACAGTTGTGTTACATGTATGAAGAATGTCTAAGCTGAGAATATGACCTCATAAAGAAAATTCTTTCATTTTAATTATGTTTATAAGCAATTTTATATTTATTGCATTAATAAAAAAAAACGATTTACATGCATAACATTTAATTTCTATCTTTTCATATATCTAACATTTAATTCTTTCTATTAAATATATATCTCTATAATTTTTAATATAAATTATAAAAATAAAAATAAACATCCCACAGTTGGTGTCGGGGAATTTTGGTTCTGCCACTAAAATAAAGTTAAAAAGAATTTTGGTTCAGCCACTTTAGCTCTCCATGTGATCTCTTTTTAATAAATAGGGATATGAGGTCTCCTCTTCATGAGGGGAAATATTTGCGTCCATATAACGCACATATCGCTGCGTGCATATTTCATTAACCCCGCAATACCTTCATAATCACCTATGAGTAACATCGAAAATAGAGTCAGCGAAGATTATTGAAAGGTTATTAGGGTTATAAGTTATTGAAATCTCCCTAATAACCGCGAAGCAGATGTTATTGCAGGGTTATTATGCATTCAGCTCTGATAGACATGCAAATATTTCTCTTGATGAGATCGCTTATTTATAAATAGGAATTTAGGTTCTTGAGTTCTAAAATAATATAAAAGAATAATAATATATATAATAATTATAGAAAGTACAGAGAAAAACAAAGAATAAGCTACACAAAATAATAATGGGGTGCATAACAAAAATTGTTCAGGTATTTACAAGATATGCGTACTGCCAAAGACTGGGAAGCAATCCTCTATGCCCTTCTCCTTCCACGTCTTACCTCGAAACCGTCATTCCTCCCCTCGCGCCACTTCGGCTCTCTCCTTGCATTCTCTCCTTCCTCCAATCTCAATTCTGCAGTTGGCCGGAACGTTGTTCTCGGTCGCGGCGGCCGCTCGTCTCAAAGCTCCCCTTCCTCGAATCAGCAGCAATAACAAGCTCCGAGTCCGAGAAGTAAGAATTCCGATTCCCACTGCGGCTACCACTCTTCCTGAACCCACCGGCGATCTCGTCTCTTTCCATCCTCGAACCAGCGAACGGGAGCTCCGAGTACGATCGGTAGAAATCCCGATTCCCTCCGCGGCCTCCGCCGCCACTGCGCCGATCAAAGTTGATATCGTTACGATTCCCACCGCGACCATCGCGCTTACCGCAGCCGCGCTTTTCTTTCTCCATATCCGAGTAAGGTCGGTAAGAACCCCGATTCCTGCCTCGGTCTCCGCCGTCACGGAGCCGATCAAATCTGCCGGCCATCTCGCGTCTCTGCATTCTGGAACCAGCAAATGCGAGCTCCGAATGCGATTCACGATTACCCTTATTTCGGTCGCCGCCATCTCCCCGACTAACGCCGCTCGCCATCTCATGTTTCTCCATGCTCAAGCCATTAACACCCAACTCCGATTGGGATCCGTAAGTGTAGCGATACCTGCTGCGGCCACCACCGACACCACGCCGACCGATGCTTCCGGCCAACTCGTGCCTCTCCATTCTCGAACCAGCGTTCTCAAGTTCTACCGATCCGGGAGAACTCAAATTCGGGTCCCGGCTACCACGCCTACCAAAATCGTCGGCCATATGGTCTCCATTCATCCTCGAACCATCAACCGCAAGAACCGAAACCGATCCATGAGAACCACGATTCCCGCCATGCCGACCAAAGTGGCCTTTCATCTCGTCTTTGACCTTTCTAGAACCAGCAACCACAAGTTCCAGATCCGAGTTGTAAGATCCCCGATTTCCCCCTTCGACAGGAAACAACTGTGCACTTTCCAGAGTCCTTGAGTCCGGCAACACCCTTGCACGCCTTCTTCTTTCCTTCCCACCCACCCCCTTTGCAATCAAATCATCATGCCTCATCATCTTCTCCTCCTTCCCGCCGTCATAACAACGCCACGGGGTTTCAGGCTGTGGACGGAGGGGAGATCATCAGGGGAGCGGAAGAGTTGGGGGCCATCCCTCTCCGACCACATGTCGAAGCCGTTGGAGCGCTGGAAGCGATCGGCCAGCGCCTTTATCTGCTCATCGGCGGAGGTGGAGAAGAGCACGGGGGCGCGCTCCACAACCTCCCAGGGACGCTCGAGCTCAGAAATGGCAGCCTTGAGCTCCGCTCGTTTCCGCATCTCGTAGAGCTGGCGTTCGCGGCACAGCCGAGCTTTGAGCAGCTGCTTCGACTTCTTAGCCTGCATTCGCTTCCACTGCCACTTAGATACGCCGCCGGGGTAGGTGCGGGGACCGCCACCCATGCGGATGGTGGCCAACGAGTTGTAGTCGCCGGCAGTTGTGAATGAGGTGGTGGCAATGGAAAAGGATTGAAATATGTCGGTGCCGGTGAAAACCCCGCAGGAACATAGGGATCGGTTGGAGGATCTAGGGATGGCGATGGATGCTGGGAGGATCACGGCAGACGGCATCCTGGTTTGTTAGTAAACCCTAGGATTTTGATCGACGGCGAAACCAGGAGACGGTGAAGCGATAGAGATTTTGCTATTGGGATCAGCTGGAGATTTTGTGGACAATAATGTCACATCCACCGTTCAGTGTTTATCTCTTTACATGGCTTTGGTTTATCTTATTTACAAATTAATGGAAGGATGAATTTGGAGCACTATACATCTCGGCAAAGATCAATTTCAAGTACCTAGTTTGGAGTATTAAGTGTCAAGTGGCCCTACAGCAAAAAACTCCAATCATTCGCAATTTGCATCATTTGACTTCAAAACGAGAGATCTTAGGAGTTGTTTGGTTGCAAGTAAATAAAGCAGCTATTTTGCATGACTCTAAAGGAGTTTGCCCTGCGAATAGAACAATAATTTATCATAACAAGTAATCATCCTTTGCAATCAAATCATCATGCCTCATCATCTTCTGCTCCTTCCCGCCGTCAGCAAGCTCTCCAGTAACAACGCCACGGGGTTTCAGGCTGTGGACGGAGGGGAGATCATCAGGGGAGCGGAAGAGTTGGGGGCCATCCCTCTCCGACCACATGTCGAAGCCGTTGGAGCGCTGGAAGCGATCGGCCAGCGCCTTTATCTGCTCATCGGCGGAGGTGGAGAAGAGCACGGGGGCGCGCTCCACAACCTCCCAGGGACGCTCGAGCTCAGAAATGGCAGCCTTGAGCTCCGCTCGTTTCCGCATCTCGTAGAGCTGGCGTTCGCGGCACAGCCGAGCTTTGAGCAGCTGCTTCGACTTCTTAGCCTGCATTCGCTTCCACTGCCACTTAGATACGCCGCCGGGGTAGGTGCGGGGACCGCCACCCATGCGGATGGTGGCCAACGAGTTGTAGTCGCCGGCAGTTGTGAATGAGGTGGTGGCAATGGAAAAGGATTGAAATATGTCGGTGCCGGTGAAAACCCCGCAGGAACATAGGGATCGGTTGGAGGATCTAGGGATGGCGATGGATGCTGGGAGGATCACGGCAGACGGCATCCTGGTTTGTTAGTAAACCCTAGGATTTTGATCGACGGCGAAACCAGGAGACGGTGAAGCGATAGAGATTTTGCTATTGGGATCAGCTGGAGATTTTGTGGACAATAATGTCACATCCACCGTTCAGTGTTTATCTCTTTACATGGCTTTGGTTTATCTTATTTACAAATTAATGGAAGGATGAATTTGGAGCACTATACATCTCGGCAAAGATCAATTTCAAGTACCTAGTTTGGAGTATTAAGTGTCAAGTGGCCCTACAGCAAATAAAGCAACTATTTTGCATGACTCTAAAGGTGTTTGCCCTGCGATAGAACAATAATTTATCATAACAAGTACTCACTTCATCTATGAAGTTTAAGAGTGTTTGTAGCACGA